GGTCAATCTTCAATTTGCGATGAACGATTATCCTTTTGTTTATTGATTTTTTTAATAATTATATAATTTACATATTTGATTTTTTTTTCTTTAGACTAATTTATTTATACTGTATCTCAAATGTTATATTGACTGTCTATTTTATTCGACATATTCTTTTTCAAAAATTTGTTTGAAACTTTAAATTTGAGATAATATCTACGTCTTTTATTTTGTATACAAGTACATAAATTTCATGAAAGATCATCTCTTTTATGACAATCTTCTTCTCTTCATACTGATAAATACGAATCAAATGAAAAATCGTTTTAAACTTAATCATATCGGTAATTATCTAATTAATGAAACCAAAAATTTATCTATGAATTTATTTCATTTATAGATTTCATATGTCTATTATTGAAAGAATAAAAAAAAATATCTTACTAGTAAAAAGATCTATAGCTTTTTTTTCTTGAATATTATGTAAACTAATTCCATATAAATTAGGATAATTTTTAACATGAAGAATACGTTCCATTGAAACTGATTCAAGATGAAGCCATTGGATTTTTTGATGAATCGAAGGTAAAATATGTGAATAAAATCGATCAAGTATTAGATCAGATAATGAATAAACTAAACCATCCGATGTTGACATAAAAAGAGACAAATCATTTGTAAAAATCGAGTCATGTACAATTTTATTTAATCGTTTATTGACACCTGATAAAGAATAAAGTATTTCTGCATTAGACAATTTTTTAAAAATATAAATAAGAATTTCATCTGGTAAATCATTCAATTGAATAGATGAATATTCCATGATTATCTATATCTATATCTATTTTACTCATATCATAAATGTCAATATATTTATATTGACATATTCAAATATTCTCTATCTGACCGATGTCGTCGATAAAAACAATGATACATTTTTCTATAATCTTAATTGATGATGAATGAATGAATAATCATTCGAATAATATTTTTTTTCTCTCTCTCTATTCCCTTGACTGAAGAGGCGATCACATATGAAAAAAAAACAAAAAAAAAAGATACATTTGTATGTAATCATCGATTGACCTAAATATAATGAAATTGATTTTTTTAAAGAGGATGTGGGCGTGGATGGGAGTCTTTCTTAGTATATCCATATCCCACCATAAGCATGTGTACTTAGTAGTTCCCTGATGATCATTATACTGTTTAGATTTTATCATACTTCTAATGTATGTTGATAGTCGAATGGTGTCGAAGTTCTTCTTATAAAGAAAAGAGTATGTGAACTCGAGTTTTATCTACGAAAAAATCTTCTGCTTGCACAAGCGCTTGTAATCATGTAAGTTTGATTAGGTTAAAAAAAAAAGCTGTTGATAAATATATTTTGATAGATATGAAATTAAAACAAAAATTTTCGGGAACGTCAGTTTTTAGCGTCGTTCTCGTTCTCATGTTTTCATTCTCGAATTCTTTACGGAAATTCCCATTCCCAATTCCCGTGGCAAACCGGACGGGAAAATTCGGCAAAAAGAGTCGTTCCCACAAGACACTAGTTGAACACATAGATTTTGCAAGTTTTTTTTTTTTTTTTGTTTCGTAATGTACTAGCTGGTAATTATTTAGAAGAATATATTCAGATGATATGAGACTTAAATTTTATTCGAAATCAATAAAAAAAAAAGGAACCGAAATATTTTATCGAAATCTACTATGAATATATTAATTATTCTACTATTTATTGTATTGTTTGACCACCAAAAATGACCTTGTCTATATCTCAGCTTTTATTCACTCAAATCACTCGAAATTAATACTAAAGTATCTATCAATTATGCTCTATTTATGCTGCTAAAATCAGATTTCTATCTCTTGTCGTTTGCGAATGGTTTAGAAAATAAACTAGGTTTTTTTCGCCTATTTCATGTGTTTTTATGATTATTCCTCATATTTGCCTTTTCTTCTTTCCTTTTTTTGGCTTCAAATCAAAAAAGTAAAGCATGTTTAATTAGCTCTCTTATATCATTTTTGAATGCTCTATCTATGCATAACTTTATTTTCATTTTAGTTGTCGTCGTATCACAAAAATTTGACATTTTGTCAATAGTTTCGAAAAACAGGGAAAAAAACGTGTTCCACTCCTCTGTGAGTCTAGTGTGAAGCCAACAAACACCTCAAGTCAAATCTTTCTTCATGAAAAGATTTATTGATTTGATCGTTTTCGACTGCTGAAAATCACACGTTACTAGCTTTTGTCATTTTTGAAATATTTACATCTTAGTGGAATCCACTGGTATGCAACACATAATTTGTCCAATCCCTCATGCCTATCTCCTCCTAAAGAAATATCAGATAGAAATAAAGTTATGGTAAAATTTATATGTTGAACAGTACGTCGATAAGGTGAAAGATGCTTTAAATTATTTTCATGATTTTTTTTTACTTATTTCAAAATGTTTTTCAAAATGTTTTGCAAAAAGCAAAAATATAATAAAGAAAATATATTTTATTTTAATTGATTTACACAAATAATTGCTTTTCGTTTTCGAAAACATTGTTTACAAATATCACACCTGAAAATATATTTGTGAACAAATAAGAAAAGATTTTTTCGTTTACTAATCAAAAACCAGATTTAATTTATTGACGATGAAACATACTCCATATTTGAATGGAATGTGCTATTAAACATTTACGTTCTGATTCAACATTTGTATATACACAAAAATTCAAAACTTCCTAAAAAAACAAAAATATTCGAGAAAATATCTAAGAATACAAACAGAACTCGCTTTCTATCATTAGCTTACCTAAAACAATCTGATTAAGCATGACTAACTATCGATACTTAATTATAAAAATTACTGAAGAAAAGGTCTACATTGAGCAACTGTATTCGATCTTCGAATGATATTGAGAAAACAAAACTGAGCCTATGAGTTGACATTTTTCAACCAGAAAATTATAGACAGTTTCATCTATAAGTTGAAATTCGGATAGAAATCATCATTTAAAAACTTCGAAAATATTTCTTTTACTGATTTTTGTAGACTTTGATATGTATAGAGTCTACGGATTGATCGTATGTGATAGAATGGAAAGAAGCTGACTTCTCGCTAAACTCAAGCCATGCAGCTCATTACCGATACCAAGAGTTGTACAGTTTTCTTTAACACCTCCACAGAGTCATCTAGAAGTTATTCGGTAGTCTTTGATTATGAATAACTTTGATAGGAACAAGAGAGAGAGAGAACTGTGACTATGTCCATTCGAAAGCAGCTATGATACTGCATAGTTCTTCGTTCCATTTAACAATACCTCTTAATAGTCAAATGCTCAGTCAATAGTCTTCAGGAAAAAAAGACTGATAGCTCTATAAAGAAACGACTAGCACTTCTTATAGAATTCTTCGGAAATCGTGGTGGTGATCTTATAAGAATAAAGTTAAAATTCGCTATTACTTTTAGAATAGCAACTATCGAGTCCAATTTGGGTTTTAGCCGATGAATTCCAGCTATCAATTTATGCAGCGTCACAAATTCCTTTTGAACAGTCAAACCTATGACTCTCTATATTGAACCCTACTGGGGAGTATTTACGTACTGTCAGGGGGCCTAGTGCTGCTTGCGGTGCTGGGACGGCATCCCCTGGGGTCCAGGAGCCACTATGTCTTATTTTTGGGCTAGTCACCCGAGTGTAGGACGTTAAACCATATCTGACTAACGAAAATGAACAAACCAAACTTGTTACTACAACCAGGATAACACTTTTTGGATCATGTAATGTCAGGTCGTGTTATAGGATCAGTAAACGAGAACTTATTGTTCGTCAGTTAAAACGGTATCAAATTCAGGTGGCGGCACTGGCTGAAACAAAAATACCGAATTCGGGTGTGGGTGTGGGTGTGTGGGTGTGGGTGTAGCATTCATTAAACAACCATACACGAATTCACACCCACACCCGCATCCTCATTGATCGGAAACTAACCGACAAAATAAGTTAATGGCGGGTGAGGATGAAAGTGAGAGTGGGCGAGTGAGTGACTGAGGATCGAGGAGTGGTGTCACATATCCAAGATTTTGGAGAAGTGCTCACTTCTCCCACAGGAGATGCGACATCTCCCGCGGGAGACGCGGCACCCACACTCGGGAGATGCGGTGATTCGCTGTTGGAGATGTATCATCTCATTGAGAGATGTGCATCCCCCACATTGGATGCTGCATCTCCTGCTGAAAATGCAGCATCTCCCGGCAGAGATGTGAGCACTTCTCCAAATTGCAGGATATGTGACACTGCTGCTCAAGTCATTTTTTCTCGAGTACGATTTAATGTGAAGATATAATTTTAGTTTCGTACTCAATAATGTCGCACACATCGACATAATTATGATTACTTTTTCAGCACTGAAAAGTTACTAGCTACTTAAGGACTGTGTCTTATTTTAGTAAGGCTAATCTTTCTCCATTGTATTTTAACCATTGATGAATATGATTTTTACGATAAGATTCAATTGTATGCATGTTTAGAAGACATTAATCAATGAAGTATTTTAATTCTTCAAAGAACAAGCAAAAGTATGTATGATAAGCATATAAATAAAAACAATGAATATAATGTCTCTGGTTTGAATACATAGATAAAGCAGCGAGTTCA